GCAACGCGAGCACAGCGGCAGCTCATGACTTTATCAAATCCTTACCTCGCCCTTCATTTTTCGTATACACGGTTGTAGAACCGGTCGACGGCAAAGCTATTTCGAGATGCTTAGAGACGGTTGGACGAACGAGGCGCACAGCGCTGTGGTAAGAGGAAAGGGACCGCTCGAGCAGACAGGAGGTGGTGACGATGATTTGCCAGCAGGCGACACTCTCTACCTGGGACACGCTGTGGGCATATGGCGGGGTCGATGTCGTCCAACAACTGGAACTAGAGCAATTGAGCACACGGCGCCACAGGGGCAGCGGGTGCTGAGAGTGGAGAGACAGTTTGCACCAGCAGTACCTGGTACCTGCGCCAAACCCTGAATCCCGGCAGGCTGCAAGGTCACGTCGACCGCTCACCGCTAATTGGCGGCCGACCGGAGCGCTGCAGCGCAAGCCTCCATTGAAAGTGGTGAGGGCCCCGACGTCTCCAGAATGCAGGGGCCGTGGCTGGCGCTAGAGCCTAGCTGCCTGGTAGCCTGACAGCACTGAGATTGACGGCCCAGTCTCCAATGTTGATTGATGCGCCCAGTCAAGTGCCTGCTCCTCGGCAACTCGGCCACGCGCTGTTGTGTCTTGTGAGGCCGTCAATCCTGGTCTGCACATCGATGCGGTCAAATGCGTGCTAGTCCAGCTGCATCATCAGATAAAGACTGGCCAAGATATCTTGCAAACGGTCATGCCACCTCTACATTTCCACTAGCGTATTGTATTGACGTACTACTACAGCAACATGGAGACGGGCACCAACGACCAGACAACATTGAGCTGCTCGAGTGTCTGCCAATCGGACGGTCTGACTACTGATGTACAATCTGCTGGTTCTCTACGAGGCCGTTCAGACCCGTCCGCCTAGAAGCTTGAGGCATACTTTGATGGTGAATTTCTGAGACTGTACCGTATTCACTATCGTTAATGTTTAATGCTTTGAGGTCAAGTCAGTATGCCGCAGAACCTCAGCATCATCACCTCATCATGCTAGAAAATACTCTAGCCAGTTCCATGTTATACCATCTATCCATGGCACTTGGGAACTCGAGCCATAAAATATATCATTCGTACGCACAAGCATTGTCACCAACAATGCTTAATGAAGATTCTCGCCGTAGTCTTCACAGCAAGGAGATGAGTATGCGTGGACAGTGGCGTTTAGATGAAACTCGAAAGGACAATGCGGATAATGCATCCGGAACTGGCTTTACTATATTGTAATGCGCGTCAAAGCCCGCAATGCAAAAATTCCTGGTCATCTACTCACCTGTTTAGTGAATCGGTTTAATCAATAGTACATGTCATCGCAGCCCTGAACAACACAACGCTGGCAATTCATTCCCTCACCAGCTATCCTTTTCATGGGCTGCAAGGGGCAGTGCCTCTGCCCTTGGTCGAGAGAATAGACAGTCACAGCGAAATTAGCGTGTTGTTGAATATGTCCGTAGGCAATGCAAACCATTTTGTAAATATTTCCCACGAATGCGACTGCGCGATCGATTCTAGTTACGACATATGAATACCTAGGTACTTAGCCGATGCCTCGTGTTTATACGCCGAATGCCATGCAAATCCATCCATAAAATGTTCCGACTCAGGTATACGCCAAACGCCCCAAAAGGTATCGTGCGAAACAAGTAACAAGATCTATCCCTCAATTTATGACCGACGGTGCTTTCAATGCCTGGGCGCCAATGGCTCATGTGGCAAGGTCTCCTGCATTTGCAATTCTTCGATGCGTTGCTCTATCGCCGCCTTCTGCTCGTTGAGCGCTCTAATTTGTCCGTCTCGCTGTCTGCCACTATAGGCATCGCGGCTTTCGGGAATCCTCCTCGTGCGACCCGGATCGTATGCGGGTGGCGGCTCATGTCGCTCGTATGGTGCTTGTGTACTAGAGATGGTGGAAGACATGCTCAAACCTCCCGCGTACGGGCCATCGCATGTCGATGGCCCGCGACGATGCATAGTTTTCAGGTCTCGCATCAGACGGTCCTTGGTCAAACCCTCTCGAGACCGGCGCCTCCTGGCAAGGATATAATAGATTAGGCAAAGGCAGAGCAATACGAATGCGCCGGCACCCACGGCGATGCCAATACGGGCACCCATGGACAAGGCGCGAGGTACGCCATCTTCATCTGAGCCGATTCCCAGTTCCTTCTTGTCCTCGGCTGTAAATTGCACTTGAATGGTGCTGACTGCCAACATGCCGCTATACAACGTTGTTGTAGACTGGGTGAGAACATCGTATGTACCTTGTATCGCGTCGTAGGTGATGGGGACGGCTAGGCCTGTCGCCACGGAGCGTCTACAATCTGATCCATTCAAAGTATATCCACTTACGTAGGTCAGCGTGCAAATCGACAACGGCAGTTGGTTGGTCAAGACTTACTAGGAGCAACAAACAGCCGTGGTTCTGTCTATATTCGATTGGACTGATGCAGTCGTCCACCCACCAGGGCACGTACCAGGACTAAATACGCCTGTGCGACCATATGAGAACATGCCATTAGGATAACACGACAAAGTGCTGGCTCCGGGCATGGGCTCGAGGTCCAGAAATGCGACGGCGCCTGGCGAGGCAGTCTCCTCTGGGTGACTGACAACATACGTCCAGGTGCAGCTCTGAGGACTTCCCCATGGCGTCGTCAACGCTGGAAGGGTTGCGGTTGTTGAGGTAGGACTCGTACGTGTTGCAGACAGCAAGGTCGATGTGGGTGGTGTGGGAGGAGATGGCTGAGTCGAAGTAGTAGAGCCAAGTGCTGGTTGAGGAGACGCCATTCTGTGGCGATCGACACCAACGGCGAGCTGTCCCGCCGGTTATGTGATATGTCTTTGCAGTCGACCAAGACGTGGCTCGTTGTTTACGGACAAGGGTTTTCGAAGCGACGATATGGTCATTTGCCAGCAGCTGAAGATGCTTTTCTGCGTGCGCAGGGACACATGGCCTTGAAGACGTCTTCCAAAGTTGGTCTTCTAAACTAGGCCGCGAAGATTCAGCAGCTCGATTGACGACATATACGCAGCGCCCTCTATCCAACAGAGTCTGTACCTAGGCTGATGACGAGGGATGGTTGGATAGGCGAGGTTCTTCGGGATGGCTGATTTGATGAAGCGGGAGCTTTAGACGCGGCACGCATGAATGGCCAACCAAGACAGAGCGTAGAGCAAAACCGACGAGGAAGGACAAGGCCGTATATGAATGCAACATATCGCAGCACATTGCTGTGCTGGAACCGCTGGGGGGACATGCCGGCTCAGCATGAAAGTAGTTTGGGGCTTGGGCTGGAGCTCCAAGGCTTGGCAGTATCTCATGACGGCGAAATGAAGACGACGCCGAGACTGCCAAGCCCAACAGCATTCAGCGCCGGACTGCCAAGTGCGAGTCCGCGTCGGCCAGCCAGCTGCTCAAGTGGCTCGGCAGTCCAACTTTTTCAAATCTCAAACTCAAACCCGCCTCCCCGACATGGCGATGCCGACGAACCCAGCCCAACAGAGGCGCCCCTTGTCTTCATCTCACAGCAATCGGGGCGAAGCTGGCCCATGGCTCTGATCACGGCGGTTTCCCATGGTACGCACAAGCCGGGCCGTGTATCAAAATAAATTGCTTCAAAGTGTCGATCTGGGCCAGTGCCTCGCAACACCAAGCCGCCGCGCTCGTTGCTCCAGCGTTCGCACCTGCTGTCGTTCGCGTTTGTGAATAATGACAACGTAACGCATTTCGTGGCGCACTTGGCTTGCCAAGACGCGCACAAGCTTGGTGGTACGCCGTACTGCCCAGTAGTAATTCCTCGTTACATTTGTTGTTGGTCGGAGCCGACTGAGGCTGGCACCGGTACTGCCCGCCGTCGCCCTGCATTCAATCTGTCTGATGAGGGAGCAAATACAAAACTCTATGTATGCGCATGCGGGGACGCGTTCTGAATAGTAACTGGTCTACCGAGCGCTTGGCGGTGATATGACACGACACCAAGACCACATCCGAGAGGCCCCTGAGCAAGCCTCGTACGGAGGAGCATGTACTACTTTTCTCGCCAAGGGAGCTGGGACAGGAGCCGACGTACGGAGTACAATAACACGGAGCACCAAGCATCGATTATGGAAGTTCCCAGGGCTTGGCCGCCTTTTGGTTGGACCAACACGGGGAACCCAAGCCATCCAGTGACATGTAATACTCCGTGGCGGTTTTTCAGTCCTCCTTTCGCTTGACTTTCGCGAGACTTGACTTGGGGCCCCAAGACAAGCATGTTTCGTCTACAGAGGACGGAGTACGTAGTGCCTGCTCGGCAATATACCGAGCGCTCCATAGAGTACGGACGAGACATATGTATCATTGTATGTACAGGTGGGTGGAGTGTCATGTTTGACCAAACCGAACAAATCCGTCGCCCAATATTGTATTGGTGAATACCTCATTTGCCAAGACAGACAGACCGGTCTCGTCCCATTCACGGTTGCTGTCTCAGAAGAATGTGCTGTCAAAAAAATTAACGTCATGGCAAAACCACCCGTGCATCAGAAAAGCAAGAGAACTCCAGATGAATATGCTGCGCCTTGTAAAAATCGAATGCCATAACGAACATCGGTCGCAAGACAAAGCTGCCGTGCGTCGAAGGTCCCTGGACAGTTTTTCTGTCGGTCAAGGCCCGGGAGGCGGATGACAACTGAGACACTCGGACTTGCGACAGCATTGATTCCTGGGTCGGGTCATGTGATTTATTTGGTTATGTAAGACGGTCCCACAATTTCAATCTGTGTGGGGGAAAGAGAAAAGAGGGTCGTCGCCTGCCACCCATACCACGTGATATGAGGGTCGAAGGGCACGAAAACCCTACGAGCAAAATTGGTAGTTTGTCAATCCGCAAGCGACTCAACAGCCTTCTAAAACGACTCCATCCCGGCCACCACATTCGCTCATCGATACCGTGCATCGATAGGCGAATCCGAAATCACCACAACCGCGATCATGGCTGACGAATACGTATGTCTAATTCCTCGATGTCCTCGAACACTTCCCGGGGCGCCGACAACGCGACGGCCGTGCTGGAGAGAGACGGGCAATTATATCGATATTGTCAAGTGGTATAGATACTGACCATGGTTTTGTACTGCAGAACGCCGAGGAGGCCGCTGAGCTCAAGAAGAGAAGAGCGTTCCGCAAGTTTTCCTACCGAGGAATCGATCTTGACAAGTATGTTGCTTCATACGGCCAAACCGCCAAATAGACTTTTTTATTACACATGCACCAATCCTTCACGCCATACGAAACGACCCCGATCTCTCTTTTCACATCATTGTCCAAGACCTAGCATGATTCTAATTTTTTCTTCTCAGCCTCCTAGACCTCAGCTCCGACCAGCTGCGTGATGTTGTCCACGCCCGCGCCCGCCGCAGGATCAACCGTGGCCTGAAGCGCCGCCCTATGGGTCTGATCAAGAAGCTCCGCAAGGCTAAGCAGGAGGCCAAGCCCAACGAGAAGCCTGACTTGGTCAAGACTCACCTTCGCGACATGATTGTCGTCCCCGAGATGATTGGTAGCGTCATTGGTATCTACTCAGGCAAGGAGTTCAACCAGGTGGAGATCAAGCCTGAGATGGTTGGCCACTACCTCGCTGAATTCTCTATCTCATAGTACGTCTATCTACCACTCAAGCATGATTCGAGCAGCAATGATGTGGATTGGATAATGGCCATATAAGCACAATTTGCTAACAACCTTTGCAGCAAGCCTGTCAAGCACGGCCGACCCGGTATTGGTGCCACCAACTCTTCTCGCTTCATTCCCCTCAAATAAGAAGGTCGTTTTGGTGCTGGTCTTGGGTGGTTTTTGCATTCACGGACATTTATGGGCGAAAAAGGACTGGGTCTGGTAGAGTGGCGATGCCTCTATCGAAGGTTGCTGTGATGACTATGAGTACCATGATAGTACAATAAGGATGCATCGTCGCTTTTTGCACATCTCTGTGTCTCGCAATTTGGTTTTGAAAGTCGTGCGCGATTGTATTATTCCTGATTGTGATGCATAGCACCAAGTGGACGAGCCACTCAAATATCGCTTGTAGATTACTGTGAACCATTGCATAACCTTCAGATATCGTAGCAAGAATGAGGGTCTCAGTGAGCCACAGCATCACCATAGAATCAAGCCGTAGCCATCTATTGCCGTGGGTATGTGCCGTCGTCCACGCCTTGATAGTACCTGCTTATCGGGATCACGCCAACTTTCCCATCGTCTCACAAATTTAAGCACAGGGTAGATGGCGTTCGCTTCCACTTAAATATATCTCTAAAAGAATAGCACACGAATGGATTTTGTCAATTTACAGATAGCTCCGATTCAAACTCGCATATTGCACCATCTTACGTCCGCAAGCGATACATGTATAAGACTTTGATTCCCCATTCACAAATACAATAACCTAGGAAATGCCGGTAGCATGAGGTTGTCCAGTCATCAAACATAGATGGCTACAATGAATGGTAACGTGGTAATTGCATAAAGGAGGAACCAAGACAGCCGCGGATGGATAATTACCAGGAACGAATACTTTATAAAAGGAACAAGAAGACGTCTCTTCTATATGGACATGATGCGATTTCCTTCCTATCGCGATTAACTATACAGTTTGCTTTCCACGGTTCTACGCCTTCTGCTCGGCCAATTTCCTCGCTTTCCTCTCCTCGTCCTGGAGGTGCTTCTGCTTATAGTGCTCCACCACATGGTCCAAGTTCACAAGATGACCGGCCTGAATATTCCTGGGAGCGTGAGATTGGAAAGCCCTGAAATAAGAAAGCGTCAGCCAACGTTTCTAGTCCCAATTACGCAGTGGCGAGAAGTGCGCTACTGGTTGACAGAGCCAAGGAAACATACTCAGGGTACGAAACGTCAACGAATCTGTGCTGGTTGGAGGCGTTCTCGAAGAGGTTTCGGTCGAACCCAGCCTGTTCCATAGCCTTGGTGTGCAGGGCATTGGTCTCCTCCCAGTCCTCCTTGCGCGAGAGATACTTATTGATCAGGCTGGAGACGGATGAGTCCTCGCCCTTCTTGGGGGCAAACTGATATAACAAGACACCTCCGAAGAAGGCGGCAACGGTGGCGATGGAGCCTTTCTGCAACGGCGCACCAGAATTCCCCCCCGGTTAGCCAGATTCAATGCCTCGCAATGGAGCGCGGTGCGGGTGGTGCGGGTGCGCCCTTTTCCCCCAGAAAACGTACCCCGAAAGACTCGTTGACCTTGGCGGCCTTGTGGTGGCCATGGGCGTCGGATGCGTAGGTGCGAGCTGTCCGCGGAAGCTGCCGGGCAATCTGGCCTGCCCTCTGTCGTGCGGCGAACATTTTGGCGGACCTAGCGTCGTCAATTGATGCTGGTCGTGGAGGGACGAGCTGGATAGGCGACGGGGCCAAAAGGTGAGGTTGTCTGGTGTTGCAAATCCACTTGTGTTTAGGTAAGCGGGCTCTGGCCAATCAGAGTATCGGCTTACATTTATCCCAATGGGGAGCGTTACACGAAGAGGACTTACACGATATCAACTTTGACAATTTCAGACTTTGCACGGGTGCAATCGGCGATCCAATCCCTGCGGTTGCTTTGACACTACCTTTTCTCACGAGACGTCTTACCAATCTCGGTTTTATTGTTCTCTGTGTACAAGACCATAGAAGGGTATCGCGCCGAGTGGTAAGACGTAGCACAATGTCGCACCAAAACACCAACGATGAACCGAACCTGTATAGAGGCCTCTGGAGAATGCTGTCCCCGGGCAAAGTCCCTCGCCCTCCTGGGACCCTGCAGAGACGGTCCTAGCGAGAAAGCCATGTGCCGGCGCCTAATCGCCAAGAATGCCAACGTGGCAATATCCAAGCGTGGTTGGCCAGAAGCCATGTCTCAAAAAGTAAATACCGATGAGAGACCGATGAGAGCAATGCGTCCGTAAAGTACAACACTGTGGCGGCGAATGGCCTCCTCCTTCTCCGCAACGGTGAGCATGGCTGCATTAACTTGTTTTTCTCACGCCCAATCGGAGAATCCCAAGGAAAGCCTCTTGCCGTCTTGCAGTCGATGAGCAGCCTGCATTTGGCAGCCCATGCAAAATCTCCCTCTAGGCCACCATCCCTAGACTCTGGGAATCTTATACCGAAGAGGGGACTGCTACTGATCCCAGAAGCCCGAAACCTGAACACCATTCGCAACAAGGAAGGGGGGAAAGCCACGATACTCGAATAACTGTGGAGAGAGTTTCGTCCTCCCCTCCTATGAAGGATCATTGCGTTCCTGCATGTGTAACACGACTATTTGTGACGAGCTCGAGACGGAAATTTTGTTTTGGGGTACGGTCCTTGAGCTGGGGAGAACAAAGGGGGAGGCCTCTTGTGGTCAGAAGTCGTGGCCAGCAACTCGGACTGGCTTCGTATAAAACGCCTCTTTCTTTTTTGTTGTATTTTTGCAATCCAACTTTTTGAACACATGTCAGATATGCCGTTTCGGTACCAGCAGCATCGTTGGCCAGTCCCATGACTTGGTTTCTTACCAATGGAAAAGACCATAGCATACTTCACAGCTCACGGCACTAACACGACTTCCAGACCTTGACGCAGGCCAGGGAAACCGAGAGTGCTCATCACAGATCGTGGTGAATACAGCTTCTAAACAAAAGTTAAGAGCCCGTCTTGAAGATATGGTGGAGAATCGGAGTGAACAAAACAAGCGCATGAAAAAACGATCGCCCTTTATGAACTGTGTGAATCATCAGCAAAGGGTTAAAAATGGCTGTGAAAACTGTCACGTCGTTAGTATACAAGACTCTTGCATCAACGCCTTCTTCGACCCTCGGTTCCTCACCATCAAGCACATCAAATACCCTCGCCTCGGAAACAATGGAATTCGCCCAGGTAGTGCAGAACTGCAACAAGTTTCGTTTCAACGAAGAGCAGGACTCGTTATTCCGGTTCTTCGTTTTATACCATGACAAGCCTGTGGGATATATTCTTCCAAGCTTCATCACGGAGATGAACTGGAATATCCGCGGATTTGAAATCGACCTAGACAAGAAAACCGTGCTCCTGAACATGGACCTTGATCCCGGCGAGTCGATCGCAAATGCTTGCGACAAGGCACTCGTGGATTTCTGCGCAAAAAACATCGACAAGATCGACCGGCTCGACCTCTGGCTTCAACAACACCACAGAAACGACGACTCCCCAGAATATCACCCTATCCTCGGGCTTCCACCCCAAATTTCCTGGCTAAAGGTCCCTTCGCCAGTCCGTGGAGTATTCGGAATCGTCACTGCGGGAGCCCATATGACCATGTACACCTTCAAGAGCGGCAACAGCATTCCGCACATCTGGGTCGCCAAGAGGTCGCCACACGTTACTTATGCCGGAAAATACGACCAGCTCGCTGCCGGTGCCATGGCACCCAGCGACGGAAATATCCCGATTAAAACCATGGCCAGGGAGGCTATGGAAGAAGCTGGCTTATTGGTCGACATGGAAACCCGCCAAGTGACGACAAAGCAAGGCGAGCGCTTGGGGAATCTTGATGCCGGCCGTCTGATTTCGTTTTACGACAAGAAGAATAAAATCGCTGGCTCCGAAAGTGGTCAGCTGGAACCGGGGGTCCGCTACACCTTCGAACTTCATGTGCCTCGGTGGTTTGAGCCAAAGCCCTGCGAGCCCGATGCCATTGAAGGCTTCCAGCTTCTTTCGGTTGACGAGGTGAAAAGGTCTTTGAAGGCAGGAGACTGGAAGCCTAATTCTGCACTCGTGATGCTCAGCTTTCTCGAGGAAAGAGGTCTCCTTGGTAATGGAGAAAGGTTAAGTCTGGATGTTTTAAACTCCATCTTGGAGTATGAAACTGTCTAATTCGACAACGTTTAATGCTGAGTATCGGATTTGCTCGTGCATCGAGTGAGCCCTCCAGAGTCCATATCTCTGGCCTAACCCCTGTCTTTGACGGCCATTTCCGGCCACGGATGGATGTTCCTTGAAACGTCACTACTGCTTACGGGGAATTGTTGATTTGCATTTTTGAACTTCTTTTTCTTTGTCTTTTTGTTTTCGGAAGGGCGCTGACACGACGTCAGGATCTTCTTGGATCACTGACGCAAAATATGCTGGGTACTTGCCCAGCTACCCTAAAGGGTTGCTAGACTAGGACAATTGCATTTTGTGCGCTCTGTTTTTTTGCCTATTTACATGTTTAATGGGGCAAAACACTCTGGTAAGCTTCTAAAAAATTCTCATGGGTAAGGAGTTGCATTGCCCGTTGTATAGACTTGTATCTTAATAAAGAATTCGTTATATTTCTGCTGTTACCATTGACCAACATTGACGCTCATGCTTTCGTCACGCGTACTACATTTCAGCTTTCATTAACTTACCTCAAACGCACTCTCGCATCAAGTACTAATAGCTTTGGTAACATTGTCATCCCACCACTGTCCCCAATCGACAATCTTCTTGTTGACTCTGGCATCTTCAGCTGCAAACACCAGCGCATGGCTACGAATGACATCATCAAGAGTACATCTCACAACCTCATTCTGAGCCTTCTCCCCATCCCATCCATGGTTCTTGACCTTGTCGCATGCCAGCACAAACTGTTGTGCAAGACCCGTATCACCGCCGCCGTGTCCAAGATCAGTAACAGTAGGCTCGTATGTCTTAGTCTCTCCTGTGGCAAAGTTCTCCACCACAATCTTCCTCGAGTCGGCGTGTATCTCGCCATGCTCACCGTAGAATGTGCTTACACGTTCGCACTGTCGCTTGGTCTGTGCGGACATATGGAAGGTGACACGCTTGGCAGGGCGTACGGACTCGGGCCAAGTGATGGTGACGAACTGTTCGTCACAGACATTGTTGTCTGTTTCGTAGACGCAGCGGCCATACCATTGGCGTTTGCTGACCTCTTCCTTGGGAGTCGATTCGTCCCAATCTTCGCTGAGGGTCTTGACCATGACCTGGCGGCGCTCTTCGTCCGTCTTGTAGTCCTCAATGTCGTGGACGACGATGTCAACGGGCCACTTGGTGTTTCCGCGCGCCAGCCCAATTCTGTCGCCCAGGTAGATGTTTTTGGCGGAGAACTTGCAACCGGAGTCTCCGAGGGGACATTTCATACAGTTGGTGGCATTTCCGGCCGCGGCAGGCTTGCGGCTCTTTTTAAAGAATTGCACTCCGCCAGTCGAAGTGATGTAGTCGGGGAGGTGTGGCTCTCCTTGGCCAGCTTTAGCCGGAGCTGAGACAAGCCAGAGCAAGAGATCGATGTCGTGACAACTCTTGGTCAGCAGAGATGGTGCAGAGGTCTTGTCATTCCTCCAGTTTCCTCGGACGAAAGAATGAGCAAAGTGCCACCATCCCACGGGTTCCGTGTGGACAACACTATTCACGTCACCAATCACTTGCTCATCGACAAGTAACTTTCGCAACATGAGATTGTGAGGGCTGTACCTTAAGACGTGCCCGATGGAGAAAATCTTGGAGCCTTTCAAGGGCTTGACAGCCTTGTACATTGCCAGGCAGTCGTCCAAGTTGGTCGCCAGCGGCTTCTCACACATGATGTGCAAATCTAGCTCGGCAAGAGCTACGACAACTTCCCTGTGCATATCATCAAGGACACAGACAAAGGCGCCGTCGACGCCCTCGGGGACCTCTTCACCCGCAGCAGCACGCTTTCGGCGGTCCTTTTCGTAGTCGACAAACTCGTTCCAGCTGGTAAAGGACTGCCCTTCTTGGGGGTTGCCGCTGCCCCAGATGTATTTCTGACCAAGGCTCTCTCGCTTGAATTTGATGGGCTCGCAAACTGCAGCCACCACTCCATTGCTGACCTTCTCAATGGCGTCGGCGTAGGCATTACCTCGGGAGCCGGCGCCGATGATGACGAAGCGGGGTGGAGTTTGGGACATCTCAGGTTTCTCGAGAGTTGTGGTCGCCTTGTTGGCAAACTCTGGGTCGACGACGCCAGCCATCATGAGTAATTTGGTGGATGAGGCTGCAAAAGAATTGGGATATATCGGCGCCTTAGAGTATCTTCTATATGCCTGAAGGATGCAAATTCACGCCGCAAATGGAGTATTTGATGCCGAAGGTGGCTCAGATCGGCTTGGGCTCTCGTAAACAATGATGATGGGGTGCAAGAAGCTGCTTCATATATGTATGTGGTTGGAACAAAGATCCACCAGGCCTCCGGCAACGGAAATGGAGAGGATACAATGTGCAGGCTGATAAACCTAAAAATACCACGAAAAACAAGGTGACGATGTTAGTTCAAGGTGGGAGCTTGTTTCCCGAACAGGGAGGGTGGGGTATTGGTTGGCAACGTGGGCAACAACACTTGCGGAGACTGCCAATCACAGGTAAGCTATTGAGAATCAGTGGACTTGAGGACACCCCACGCAACGTTTCAGCACTATGCGGCCCTATCTGGGGCGTTTCGGGGACGAAGCGGGCCAATAGAAGGTGACTGACGGGACAGATAGGGCACCCTTTGCGCTGAACCTCCACATGTCACCACGAACTATCAACCATCACCATGTACAAATTGAGGGGTCACATTGTCTCCCTCCAAAGAAGACCACAACGGACCACATTCATCTCCACGAAGTACGCTCGCCCCGTTCGTTACTCATACTTGGCGTTCACCAAATAACTTTTAGCAGTTTTGGCCGGCGCGAGTTTCCTACTTGGGAAAGAACAGCTTCCGTCTGCCAAACCTCGAGAGACAAGCCAGCATCAGACACCAGATTTCCTGTTAGTGAACACCAGAGAACTGTTCAATTAGTATTGTACTCCGTAATACACATTCGACATACTGCTATCACTATCGGCCCACTTCCACAAAGCTGGACAAGCTCTGCCCAAAAGTGGATCACCTTCACACATTGTAGAATTTGTTTGGATACATAGAACTTCAGCATCTATCCCCTCCGCTACCAACAGCAAGCTTAAGTAGGAGGCTTCGCCCCTGGATTCATCCATTGCTGACAGGTCAAGCTAGTCAGCTGCTTCATGGTGGCTTCGTATAGCGCTTTATTGGCCGATATTTTCCGCTCCAACAAAAGCTTGGCTGCTCTGTGCAAGGGCGACAGGCAACCTTCGACAGACGGCCATGGCACCCGGAGCCGGTGATGCCCCGCCTTCGGGTGTAACGACGGATGATCCCCTTGTCTGGATCGATTGCGAGGTAAAGTTTTCCGATCTTGTCTTGATTTGGGGCCACGAAGCTTGCTCGCAGACTTGCGGCAAGGGGGCGGCAACCCTACCGGCTACATGTCGGTGTAGCTCAGCCCGAACCTTGTAGTACTCACATGGTCATGATTCTAGATGACAGGGCTGAACCCTGATACGGAGGAGATCATGGAGATATATTGCATCATCACAACGGGCAATCTAGAAATAATAGATCAAGAAGGGTACCACGCAGTCATTCACTGTCCAGCCTCCCGATTGGACCAGATGGATGAATGGTGTACTCAAACACACGGCAACTCTGGTTTAACCGCCGCCGTCCTGGCATCGTCGACCACACCCGAGCAAGCTGCCGAGGGGCTGTACAATTACATCACGAGATTTATACCCGAGAAGCGCAAAGCCCTACTGGCCGGGAATAGCGTCCATGCAGATAGGGCGTTTCTGCGAAGGGAGCCTTATGCCAAGGTCATTGATCACTTGCACTACCGCATCTTGGACATAAGTGCCATCAAGGAGGCTGGCAGAAGATGGTGTTCGCGGGAGATTATGGCTCAAGCACCGGCCAAGAAGGGAAGGCACCTGGCTAGAGATGATATTCTAGAGAGTATCGAAGAGGCCAGGTATTATCGGCAGGCAATTTTTCAGCGACTGCCGTAAAAGTGGCTGGGGGGCTGATGTGATTTTGTGTTGCGGTGTGACTGGGTGTTTTTTGCTTGTTTCACACCGTCCGACGATCCATTAAGATAACATTGGGTAGACCGCTGATTATGAGCCTGAATTCATCTACTGTCGTCAACGGGCCCATCTAACTTACTGCCCCGTACGTGATCCCGTTGAATCCCTTCACGTACAACAATATGAACCAGTGTCACCTATTTAACGTAAATTTCCTCATACTAATATCCCAACATCCCAATGAAAGAGAAATACCGCCACCGCCACGTTGAGCACTGCATTTCAATAGTGTCCACACTCTACACATTGGCCGTTTAGGTCAACCGTTAACTCAGCCTGAACAGCTCGACCCATGCATACTGCAAAATCCCGCCAATATCCACACTGTATAATAAACCCTGGTGAGCAGCCAATCCCACAGTGTCGATTTGACACATCGACCTACCCTTGGTGAAAACAGCCCCTCCAACAATCCATGATATCCCCACTACGTCAACCAAGCTCCAAAGAGCTTCCCCTCCCCCTCTCGATCTCCTGTCTCCAAACGGCTTGAGCTCCTCGAATCCCCTGTTGGCCATTCTAGCCAATTCTTCTTCTTCTCTATTTTTGCTCACCCTCCAAAATAAAAGCCGTCTCTGAGACATAGCCATAATGGATATCAAGACTGTCGAGTTTGAGCCCTTCCAGGACCAGAAGCCTGGCACGTAAGTTCCCCTGTTGCTGGCTCTGGCAGGCCCCTCATCACATGAGGTGCCACAGCTCGGAAAGCTTCCAAAACTAACACAATTGATACCCAGGTCCGGTCTTCGTAAGAAGGTGACTGTTTTCCAGAAGCCTCATTACAGCGAGGCCTTCGTTGCGAGTATTTTGTTGTCGATCCCTGAAGGAGTGAAAGGTTGGTTCGAATTTGGCGCATTGAAGCACACACGGCCTTGCCAAGCCCCTGCAAGCTCCCCCAAGCTAATATCCGTGCTTGCCAGACTCATTCCTCGTCATCGGCGGTGATGGTCGATACTGGAACCCCGAAGTGATTCAATTAATTGCCAAAATCAGCGCTGCCTACGGCGTCAAGAAGCTTCTAATCGGACAAAACGGTATTCTGTCGACGCCCGCGGCGAGCCATGTCATTCGACTCCGGAAGGCCACTGGTGGTATCTTGCTCACCGCTAGCCACAACCCAGGCGGTATACTTGTTCCCTCCTCTGAAACATACAACACACTGCGTTGGTTAGAGGCTGACCTCTCCTGGTGATTTCGTTCCAGGCCCCAAAAACGACTTCGGCATCAAGTACAACCTTGCCAACGGCGGCCCTGCCCCCGAGTCCGTAACAAACAAGATCTACGAAACCTCCAAGACCCTCACTTCATACAAGTTAGCTTCCATCCCTGACATCGACATCTCCACCATTGGCACACACACCTATGGTTCTCTCGAGGTCGAAATCATCGACAGCACCGCCGACTATGTCACCATGCTCAAGGACATCTTCGACTTCCCCACTATCAAGAAATTCTTCAGCTCCCACCCCGACTTCAAAGTGCTCTTCGATGGCCTCAGCGGCGTCACTGGGCCCTATGGAAAGGCCATCTTCGAAAAGGAGCTCGGCCTCAGTGGCGCTACGCAAAACTGCGAGCCCAGCCCCGACTTTAACGGCGGCCATCCAGACCCCAACCTCACCTACGCCCACTCCCTCGTCGAGGTCGTCGATAAGAACAACATCCCCTTTGGCGCTGCCTCAGATGGCGACGGGGACCGCAACATGATCTACGGCGCCAACGCCTTCGTTTCTCCCGGTGATTCGCTCGCCATCATCGCCCACCACGCCAAGTTAATTCCTTATTTTCAGAAGAATGGCGTCAACGGCCTTGCTCGCTCCATGCCCACTTCTGGCGCCGTCGACCGCGTAGCTCAAGCCCAGAAACTAGATTGCTACGAGGTCCCCACCGGCTGGAAGTTCTTCTGTGCCCTATTTGACGCCAAGAAGCTATCTATTTGCGGCGAGGAGAGTTTTGGAACTGGCAGTGACCATATCCGTGAGAAGGATGGCCTCTGGGCTATTGTCGCTTGGCTCAACATCATTGCTGGCATTGGTGTTCAAAACCCTGGAGTCACACCCTCTATCAAGCAGATCCAGAAGGATTTCTGGACCCAGTATGGCCGTACATTCTTCACTCGTTATGACTACGAGGATGTCGATTCAGATGGTGCCAACAAGGTTGTCGGTGTATTGAAGGATCTGGTTGCTGACCCTAAGTTTGTCGGTAGCAAGATTGGAGGCAAGTTCACAACCCACCCCCTCATGCAGAAAGATGTCCTGACGAATTTGGTTGTTGTTTTACAGAGCGCACCGTCACAAAGGCAGGCAACTTCTCCTACACCGACCTCGATGGTTCCGTGTCCTCCAACCAAGGCCTCTACGCATGCTTCTCCTCTGGCAGCCGTATCGTCGTACGTCTCTCTGGAACAGGCTCTTCCGGCGCCACTATCCGTTTGTACATTGAGCAGCACAGCAGTGACCCGTCAACATATGACATGGATGCCCAGGATTTCCTCAAGGCCGAAGTCAAGTTCGCTACGGAATTGCTCAAGTTCAAGGAGCATGTTGGCCGTGATGAGCCTGATGTCAAGACCTAAATGGCACTTCAAAGCGTTTTTATTCCTTTGTGCTCAGAATTACATGAGAGATTTGAGATAAGACGTTAATTATGAGTGTTATGTTTCATGACATCCTGCTCACATGTGATGACAGATGATTGCATTCTAGCGTTTGCCAAGAAAATACCAAAAAATATAGTTATAATATAGCTTAAAATGAAATAAAAAGTGAGAGAAGATAGTCGTCCCGCTCGCTATGCTTGCAAACTTGTTTTGTTCATCAGGAAAGTCAACTTGGTATCAAATGCGGGCAAAAAGAGAGAAGAAATACATGGGGATGGAGAACATGCTCTCCCTGTTCCAATAACGCCAAAGTAGGACCTTAAATTCAATCTTTTTGGGTTCCGGGCTCCAGGCATTATCGTTTCATTTTTATTTTATCATTATTTCATCATCATTTCAGTCGTGAGGTTCTCAGTACGTAAAAGAGGTTTTCAAAGCGCTCAGCTTCTAAAGGAGTATCAGCGAGGAGTCAAATGCTGCGACACGAGTTCTCCAAGATGATTGTGATTACAAGTAAGACGTACCACGATCGCTAACAAAGTTGATTTGAAACTCGCCAGTTGGTCCTTTGCGTTGGTTATGTTCTCGATAATTCTTGCAGAATACAAAGAGTCGAATATCTGATAGCCAGACTTTGCGACGAGAGGCGCTTCGCCTAATCCAGTTTGTGCATCTGGCTTGTTCGGTTACTGAGCTTCATGTTAATATAATGTGGTATTTGTGATGTCAATAACCGCCATCAATGGGCATATTACCAAATGCAGTCCAGACAGGACATTGGCGCAGTTCACCGTCCAAAACTGCTGCGTGAAGTCGAAGACCACCCGTGGCATCATCTTGATATACCATCAGGGAATGGTGGAAGCTATCGTCAAATATATCTCTTTCGGAATTGGTTAGTGTACTTCCGTGTCGAGAAAGGGAATGCTCAAGGCCCATACGCTTGGAAGAGCTCCTTCTCCTTGCCCAATGCCAGCTCCTTGGGGCCGCATTGGAGGGTGCGAAGGTTCCTTGCCTTAAGGGATACGAAGGTGCAATACATGAGGACTATATCTGTAGCCGCAGTTAGCAATGTGTTTTGCAGAATGCTCGGTAATACGGTTGATACTGGCAGACTATACCAAGCCATACCTTCCCATGCATTGAAACATAATTTGGCCCAAATCTTGGAGTTATTGGCATTCATACTCCAACGACGAAATCGCAATGAGTTGCCGCATCTCTTGATGCATAGTTCGTGGACACCGCGCAGTGAAAACCAAGGCTTCTCATCTTTGAACATTCGGAGGAGTAGATATGCACAGTCGTCTTGAGAGTTCAAGAACACAGTAAGCGATACTTTATCACCATCGAAAGACCTGTTGGAGTTAGCCAAATGGATTGACGGTGTAAACACATATGCTTGACTGAGATGGAGGGGAGTTTACTGTCGCAAGAGAACTTTCGAATACATGGGGATGTCGTAGTGACCTAGTTCATGATGTGGTCCCAAAGATATGGTCCTAACCCTCTAATTTAGAACACAATGCCAGCTTGGCAACTGATGTCTCTTGCTGCACTTACTGTGCCGTATTTTTCATTGGCGTCCGCGGCCAGGGGGAAGAGAAGATATGTTCAGCCCAGTGGGTTATCTGATATAATGGTCAGCGTAACTTGGATGTGTACTATCAATACTGGCCAAACCAACCGGGTCCAGTCGATATGGGGGATATCCTGTATGGAGAACAAGCGGACCTGCTTGAAGTACACACGGCGGGCCTGAACTAAGGTTAGAACGATATCGGGCATTGATTCAAAGCAGGGCTATCCAAGTTTGTCTTGACCTACCAATTCCTCTGACTTCTCGTAAACGGAGTATTCGACGCTCGAGGCTTTTAACCTTGTATTTTGAAGAGGGGGTTCTGATTACGTTGTTAGGACTGATTTTAACCAGCGCCGCCACACGTAAAGATGAAAAGTCAACCTTCTAAGAAAATTCCGTAGAAGCGTAGCGTATTCATAATAGATTTTGAATCTTTCTGGCAGCGACAGGCCATTGACTTCATCCTTCATGCAGTGGTACATATTCCGCCATCGATTTTCCTTTGACAGCGAACACCGATCGTAATGGGTCTTGATATCTCTCAAGGACTTGGACAGGCAGGGTAACACAATGTTCAGGGGGTCCAGCACATATGCCAGACAGTCTCGGTTCACCTGAGCAATGTCGGCTAATTCGCGAAGGCGACGAGCAACGCTCGCAATCTCCTTGACGGTATCGGCCAGATAGGAATTGCTGGGTTCGTTCAATGCGATACGCAAGCCCTCCAACTTGAGAGCAATGTCATCAGATCGGTATGCCTCCAAATAGCACCCCTTCAGCAAGATGACGTCGTCGGTCTCGGGCATGTCCATTTTCCAAACTTTGGATTAGCGGACATGGAGCGGCTCTCCTCAGTTACACTCTGGCAAAGCCAAAGGGCCTTGTTTCTCATCACTGGGGACTCGCCTGGAAAAGGGTCAACCGATGCTCTGTAACTAAAATGCCATCCTAGAGGATGTTAGAAATTCAATGACGAGTGCGTATTTGATCTTGAAGCGTTTTGTTGTGCCCATGGCCGTGGTTGGGCACGGATCCCGTATTATTATACAATGGCGGCGGAGTTGGGGGGCAAGAGCAAATGGAAACGGGGATATTGATTTGTTATAGGCCCTTTCCCGAACGACTGGCCATTGGAAAACGAGGGAGACGGACTGGAATTGGGCCTCTATCACGGTGCACAATGCATTTTCAAGTTGGTCCACGGCGACACCAAGTATGTCGGGAGCCGGGGAGGGAAAAGCAAGTGTCGACGGTCTGGGGAAGGAACTGGGCAGGTTTCCACCCCCGACTTCCCGCTGCACCATTTGGCAAGAGCCGCATGGCCACCGGAGGGCATCCTGACTGCTTGGCCGCTTTGGTAGTCCGGCACGATGGACTGAGGACCGCCAGACTCGACTGATCAGACAATTTTTTTTTTCTTTTTCTTCCCTCTTTCTTGTTCCCGGTGGCGTGGGGTTTCATTCGTCGAATAGGACACGACACGGCAGCATGGCGCACAGAGGCACAGGTCCTCATGGATTAATCCCCCATACGCTATGTGCCAAACAGTGAACACGTACCATCTGGCTTTGGACTGGAGGGACTGGCACAGCTGTCGACGCTGGCTTTTCCTGCAGAAGATTGTGACTGGTGCCAAGTCAGAGGCGTGGTGATGATAATCATTCGATCAGTCTCGCGTGTAAACGCCATACACATTCGTCCGACGACCACCAACGGAGAGCAGCAAGGCCACTGGACGTTCTGCACAACAACCAAATCCCTTCGTTGAACAAGACAATGTGCCATCATAGATAAGATTCCTTTGCAAGTTTCAGCCATATCAGCAATGAACAACCCTACCGAGTCCGTGAGAACTAGAGACCCCGCCCTTCCTCCGTTCCCAAACACCCCCCGACTATCGCGATGCTATACTCCACTTCGCATCAGCATCAGCACCGGCGTCAGCATCAGCACCCGTGGTTTGTGAGTGCGAGTGTCCGTAAGACTGCGTGCCTTTACATGCCTCTACACCGATAATGCCAGCCATGGCAATGGCACCCAGTAGCCAGACTGGGGCCGCAACTGTCAAGTGCGAAATGCAGTCGGAGCCGAGTGTTCGACTCCAACTGCTCACAGACTGCCACGAAAGCAAGCCAGCCATGTCGGGACCCAGCCAAACTTGTGCTTTATGCATGACAGTTGGACAGGCTAGACTGGACCGGCACTTGCAGCATGCATGGTCAACTGGTCGGTTCTGCGAAATAGTCGACTGCTGCTTTGGGCCCGCAAATGACGCTTCCCTGGTGGCAGCCGTGGTCAATGATGGTCAATGATGGCGATGAGGCGGCTCTCGACTGCAAGATTGATCGGTATCCGAGGCAGATTGAAGCCGGCCTGTGTGAACAAGCATTGTCGAAACACCTGGGCAGTATCGCGAGGCCATCCGCCCGCCATATATCACAAGCTATCGCCGCTCTAGCTGTCTCTCCCTCATCCAGTCGAGAACCACCAGTATTAGCAATTGGGTAGGGCACTCCCTCACGCAGTCAGGCATACATGAGCACACCAAACTCAAACACGTCGACTGTTGCATGCGTTACGTGACAGGTGCACAGAGTACTCTTATATTCGTACAAGATTTATCATTGCGTGGCCTCATAGACATTAAATATGATCATGATCAGAGACTCACGCCGACACGTAAAGCCTGCGACGTAATTTCGCCTTCTTTGATGATCACAAAATTGAGACCCAGTTCCATTTAGTTTCCCCGAAAAACAAAAAGAGCGCGCGGTCCATCCGGCGCATCATACAACACCGCCCAGCCCAAAATACAAGGAAAAAGAAGGTTTGCCAAAGGACGGGACTAGAGTACAATGATACGTCTTGACTCAACCCCAGCCGTCATTATGTTGCTTAGTTAGAGTCATCCTCGGCCTGTAGAGGAAATTAGTAAAAACCCCGACATGCTTCTTTACGAGAAAAGGAAAGTCTTACCTGGAAAGCGGCCTTCTCGTCCTCATACCGTTTCTTGTCGGCAGCAGCCTTGGCTTCGTAAGGAGCACGCTGCTTGTCGTTCAAGGCCTTCCAGCGCTCACCAAGAACCTTGCCAACCTGGCCGAAGGTGATGTTGGGGTTCTCAGCACGGACGTTCTCGCGCTGCTCATTGGCGAAGAACATGTAAGCAGAGAGACCACGCTTGGGGCCGCGCTCTAGTACTGGTCAGCCGTGTTGTAGATCATGCATAAAAAATGAGACTTACTCTTCTTGCCATCGTCCTTCTTGCCGCGCTTAACCTTAGGCATTTTGAAAGTTTTTGACTGAAGCGGTGTTAGTGATGAAAATCAGGTTTGGTGAAACTTGATGCGTGCATCCAATGGTCAGGTGTGTGGACGTTGTCAAGTGTCACGCAGTGGCCAAATGGAGCCGGGTAAGCAATCCTTGAACGGGCGCGATGAGACGGGCAGAAAGGAAGTGTTGGTGGAGAGGAAGCGCGTGTAAGTGATGGGGATTGACTGTGAGTCCGAGGTGAGGCGCAAAGCCAATTGCGCAATCACCACGGCTCGAGATGAGCCATTTCCGAGAGGAAAAGTGTCGCAAAAAGCTGGATTGACCTACCTGAACGCCGCTTGTGTGAAAATGAGAGAATGGTGTTGACTGGATTGTCTAATTCTCAAGGTCGCTGGTCAGCCCTATTGATGGATCCAACGTTGGGGTATATGCGTTGTGAGTGTTGAAGGATGAAAGCCAAGGACTCAAACAAAGCACCACGATGCAGAGGTGCACAGGGCTCTGGAGGCGAAATTGGAACCGCAACAGATGCAAAAATGCAATCCGAGGCGCGGCAGAACAAGTGCCAAAATGCGCGGCAGCAAAACGATGCTCGTGATGCGAGTGACCTGGGGTTGGCGGCGATGCAGGGCAATAGCGAGGTACTCACCAAAGGTCGCGTTGTGTTTTGTGAGGAAGACGCGCGAGGAGATTGTATGGGAGAATTTGGGTGGGAGATTTGTATGGGAGAGGAAGAGGGGAGAGAGAGCCTTTTTACTATGGGCGGGCCCGGCGGGCAGAGGGCGAGTGATTGTGTGGGCGCGACCGTGTGTGTGTTGAAAGTGGTCAATGTGGGAAGCGTGGGTGCGTGTGTGTGCGTGTGTGGAGGAACGCGGCTGGCCACACACATGCTCGAGTGGACATTGACTGACTTGACACAGAGTCCAGAGTCGAGGTGAGTCCCCGTCTCGCAGTCCTCGTCCGCAGTTCCATAGTCCACAGCCCTCACTCCTGAGTCCTCACTCCCCCAGTCAACCAAGTCCGTCCAGCTTGCCGGCCAAGCACACTTCAACAATATTGCGCACTTGCGCACTTGCACCCTGCCAACCTGCCCAGCTAGCATTTGGACCCGGCTCAACATTTGGACCACCAGCCCATCCGCCTGAGCAAACACCCAGTACCAGGCCACAGCTACCCGCCAGCCCGCTCCTGAACCTGCCTGCTTGCCCAGGTGCGTACGGAGTACACACCTCGACATTCTACAGTCGACACACTCGACACCACGTCGAGTACTAAGTACTCTGTACATTGGTGCAGAAGGCCCATGGACTGCAAGTGTCGCAGGTGAACTCCATACTTTAAGTACGCACTCCCCTCCTCAGCTACATGCGTATGTACATTTTCCTAGGGGTAAAGTACTCAAGTACTGCGTTTTATGACTTCTGAAGCGAGCATGCTCGGTACTTAAGTACTTATACGTGATACTACTGGGTAAAGTGCTCAAGTAGGTACAAGTACCAGCCTGCGTAGTAGGTACATGGGGTCGATTCTCCGTACCAGCCAGCCAGCCAAGCTAAGAATAACATCGGAACCGGACATGGAAACCACGCCTGCCAGTTGTGGGCGCCTCTTACTCTGCTGTGCCCACGCGCCGTGCACGTCAGGGAAAGAGGGGACCACGAGCGGAGCGTGGGAGGCGGGCCAAAATGGTAATGATCCAGCTCGGCAAGAGTGATCAGAAACCAGGGAGGAAAGAGAATGGCACCAGGAAATAACGCCAGTGCTCCGTACTTCACTTGACGCCGTGTGGAGTACGGGAATGTTGAAGGGGCAATAAGCGGCCAGATGCCAACGTTCAGAACTTTGAATGATGGAACGCCTCGCGCAACCCGCAGCAGGTCTCTCGTGGCTACGCCGGATACAAGACACTAGGTACGGAGTACTGCGCGTGCGCTCCGTAATTGGTACTGCGTACCTAGTAGTCGTACCACTGCTGTACGGAGTACGGAGCATGTACTCCCTGCTCCCTGCTTAGATCTTGCTTCCGCCCTTCCTCGCCTTCTCACACTCCCACTAGCCTGCATCACACACTCCTGCCGCCTTCTCCCTTTCGCCGGGCGGGTGTTGGGCTGGTCCAGGGATGGTCGAACTGGTCCATCCATCCAGGGGGGTCATGACTGGTCTCGTGCTGTTGAATGGCTGCGTTGCCTGCTCAAGTTCAGGTGTGTGGGCTGGGGGACCGACGGGGGGACATCGAAGGGACTGGGCTGTTATGCCCATGCGCGCGCCGACGACGGCTAATAATTTCGCGTGGTACTGTAAAGATACATGCGTGTCGCCGACGGTCGCGCCGATGTAGTGTACAAGGGCGCTGTACCACGGCTTCTTTAGTTGTATCCGCACTGTATACATTAGTGATCTTGAGGCAGGTAATGCCCAGCATTGGCTGCTCCTGGCTGCGCTTGCACACTTTGCTCTCTGCCTTGCATTTACCAGCACTTGAGTGCAAATGCCTCTCGAAAAGCAGCCCCCAACAAAACCACCCAACGTCAGTTGTCATGACCTTTTCTCTTTTTCCCAATGTATGAATATTGAATATGAACTACCTGCCTACCTTGAGTGTCCAAGCCGTACCTAGGTAGAGACTCAGTCGTGACTCTTTTTGTCGAGTATGCTATCCAAATCTCAAACCAACGACTGAGATACTACTTACGTCCATCCCCTCCTCAGAGTTGATATTGGTATTGCTTCTTTGCTATTATCGAACCGCACATGCCCTCACGTCTTATTTTGGTTGACTAAAACACCTCTGCGGGTGGCTGGTTTGAAAAGTCACTAATGCCATCGAGACAAGCAAGATTATCACTTGGCATAAGCACAGCTCTTTTCTTCCATGGCATGGACCGCAACCCTGGGGCTTTTAGCTTACTATAATAATACTTGGAAGAACGCGATCAAGAAAGTGGCTGGATCAATGCACACCTGTGATTATTGCGGAGTTCACCAAACGTTTCAATCAGTTGCCCCGTACCTCAACTTGCGTCTTTACGGAGGAAGAGCCAATGGTAGTATTTAATCTTCGTTGCTGAAAATAGCGCTGCGCGGATCGGATAATGGAACTATGAGCAAGACACGACACACTGTTGTTCACATGGGTTGATGGGGTCAGACGCTGCCCATCCATGGATCGGGATGCAGGAGTTCCGGTGCGCAAATGAAGCGCACACCATCCGACACACACACTAGACGCATCGAGCACCTAACAGCCTCAAAATGGCCAGAGGTGAGAGTAGTTTCGCTTTGACAATGTCTCGTATTTCTTTGACAAGCATCTCCTCGCACACTTCATGTTATCAAATTACAAATTCTTTTCTGACATCAAGACCAGATAACAACGTACAAAACTAATACCACCGAGGTTTTTCATTACTTGAAGCAGGACAATCAATTTGCCGAATATGAAATATCTACATATAGGTTCATCTGGCGGTTTCACCCCATAAAGCGCCAGCCCATACTCCTCCGTTCTCAGCTGCGCGCATAAAGTACAATGTAGAACTACTAGTACTGCTAGTACTGCCGCTATAATCTCCGGCTCCTCCATCCTTGCGCATGGCTTCTTTGGGTCAGGTACGGAGTGATCTTCAAGAGGAACTGACATCTAATAGCACGGAGCAACTACCTTCAGGTACCTAAATTTTAAAGATACTTGAGTATATAAAAATATACCGGTTATTGTTCCTTATAAGGGAGTATCTTTAAGTATCTTGAAATATCTCTAAGTATCATGAAAGAAGTGGGTTGAATATTACATCAATTGGACCTGCGCACATTCAAAGGGATGTGGCACCCAGTTGACATACCTTCAATATGACCGGAAGCATCGCTCTGAAAAGCACTTGGAACAAATTTATCCTGCGACGACGACAGGGTTTACTTGCCACATTCTTTTTCTCATGATAATACCTAGCAGGCAGTGAATCTGGCAAGTGGCGCTAGTTGGATACGCCATCAATAGTACTACGAGCCAGGGAACGACACTTTCCAATTGTAGTACGGAGTGCTCTGTGCTGCGTTTCCTCTGCTGATTTCAGAGCTTGAGGTGCCGGAGCGGGGTACTTTGCGGCGTACATGACGAAATGTATCGTCATACGACTATTACTTGTACTGGTACATGACCGTTAGTATCCTGAGAAAGCCACATCCTGGTGGCTCGCTCTGAGCTGTGTCACAGCTTGCCAAACCCGTAATAGTAGACATAATACCAACCCCGCCTCGACCCTTGGATAATAGAGGGCCGAAGGAGAAAGACGCTGACGAGGCTGGTGTTTTGAAAGTTCCGCCTGTTTATGCACTGAACCTCAAATAGGTAGTACTAGTACTATTCCAATAGTAGTACGGTGAAAGCTTTTGATGCTTCGAGATGTGAAGCTCACGAGCTAACAGCTGCCTTGCTGCCTAGGTAGGTCAACACAGTCCAATTGATACCAGGCTGACATGAATAGCATGCCGCACAGAAGTTCAAGGCACTGTTGCCTCGTCGAATACACCGCAATCTGGAGCGTTGAGTCCGTATGTACGGAAGACTTGTATTGTAGGACCCGGAGGTGTACGGAGACGGAGTACTACATGCCGAGGCGGCAGAGAGCGAGACGGTGAGAGCAGCATTGTGGAACAAGGTGCCTTGGAAACTCCTGTGGCACCAAAGAGGCACAAGAAACACGGGAGAGGGAAACGGAGACGAGTCGATCTCAATGCCTTCAGAGACACGGGCAACTGACCTGTGCTAGTCCAACCAAGACCTAGTCAGACCAGGACAACCCGGCAAGAGGCCATGTAACATTCATGAGAGTACGGAGAATTGCGTCGCCATGGAGGAATATGTACACATACAGAGAGAGGTTCTCGTCCTCGCCCACTCCACCTCCACCCAGCCGAAGAGGGCCGAAGAGGGACAAGAGCAGGAGCAAGAGCAGGAGCAGGAGCCTTTGCGGCGTTGCGCGTCGACGTCGAGAGCGTGTGGCGTTCCATCTCC